TGGCGACCTTGAGGACTCTGGGACTCGGGGATTGCCCCGGGCCAGGTGCAGTGCCTGCCCTTGGCCTTRTTGGACCTCATGAGGTTCTCGTGGTCCCACTTGTCAAGCTTGTCCAGGTCCATGTGCATGGCTCCCTCCTTCCTTGGTGCCCCTGCCCCATTCAGCTTCCCACCCTCTGCAAACGTGCTGAGGGTGAGCTGGATCCACTGTCCGTGTCACTGGGGAAGCCATTCAAGAGCACCAGGGCCAAGGCAGAGCCCTGAGGGACACCCCTCATCCCTCCCTGCAGCCGGACATGGAGCCCATGCCCACAGCTCCTGGGCTGTGTCCATCTGGCCAGTGGCTCGTGCCCTGAATAGCCCACCCTCCAAAGGCAGGGCTCTGCAGTGTGGGGCTCGGGCTGTCCTGTGGGATTGTGTCCAAAGCCTCACCGGGCTCTGGGCACATCAGGGGCTACAAGTGCCCTTGTCCAGGGCTGCTCCATGTCACTTGCAGTGGGGTCGACTGGTGAAGGGGTGTCGGAGTGGCCCTTTGGGACACACATGCGTGGTGTGCCCTGGGGTGCCCAGTCCCAGGAGAGCCGCTCTCTCAGGAGGAAGCAGCTCCCGGGATCCCTGTGCATTGGAGAACAGAGATGAAGGACAAAGTGACCCTCAGCTCCCAGCCACCCAGCCCCTTGCCCAGCTGGCCGGAAGATCAGGCCCTCAGGGGGCACTTGGTGGGGGCAGTGGGTGCCTCACTCCTGCCCCTGTCAGAGACTGAGCAGGAGGGGGCCTTTGTCAGCGTGGAGGAAGAGTGGGAATCGAACGTGGATGGTGAGCTTTCCCAGTGGGGAGATGTTTGGAGCTACCAAGAGGTCTCCGATTGGGAAGAGTGTCTCAACCAAGAGCTCTCCCAAGGAGATGTCAGTAGCTCCAAAGAAATCTTCAACTGGGATGAGTGCAGCGAGCAGGGGCTGTCCCAGGGAGAAGCCCTTAGCTACCAAGAATTTTCTGAGTGGGAAGAATACCTGGAGCAAGGGCTGTCTCAAGGAGAAGTCAGCAGCTCGCCAGAACTGTCTGCCTGGGAGGACTCCACTGGCCAAGAGTT